CTGATGGTGGAACATCTTTCTACATCTGATGGTGGAACATCTTTCTACATGATGGTGGAACATCTTTCTACATGATGGTGGAACATCTTTCTACATCTGATGGTGGAACATCTTTCTACATGATGGTGGAACATCTTTCTAAACCTGTTAAAAATGATCAAAAACATTATTCGAGATGATTCAAAATTGGTCAAAATTGCATAAATTTGTTGAAAATGACTCAAAAGCCATCAAAAATCAGACACGCTGGTCTAAATGATCCCACAGACGACTGAAAATGAGTCTAAATTAGTCCAGAAGGACAGAAAAGTTGTGTGAAGAGATCGATTCTGCAGCACGTGGAGACAAAACGACCAGAGAAGAGACATTAAAGGGAAAAAACAGAACAAACAAGACATGAAGTTTCACAAACGAGACAAAAAACAACCACAACGATGCTGAAAACACAAAGCGGTGACACAGACACACAAAATGACACAAATACGACAAAAACAGTAAAACAACACAAACAGACTGAGAGGAACATATGTTGAGTCCTGGTTTTGACATTTTTGTAAATTAAATAATGTTTATTTCTCTCTGGTCTCTGTGGTTCTAAGTGCTGACAGTTCTGTCTCCTGCTTCATGTGGTTCTGGTTCCACAGAGCTGCAGGACTTTATGCTGAAACATGAACCCACTCAAAACCAGCAGCTGGACTTCAGAAGGCTGATCGATTATTGATCGTTAACGACTACAACCGGAGAACATTGCTTATGATTCCATCCCAGTGCTGTCAGACTGAACCGTTTAAATCTGACACCAGTGCCGAGCCAGAACCAGATTTCTCTGCCACTCCATCCTGACAACGTTCTGGTCAGTGAATCTCTTCACGAGCTGCACCAGAACCAAAAGCACGAGTCGCTCCTCTGCAGACCAGCAGAACACTTTTTACAACCTGCCTCCCACTGAAGCCCAGAAGAGCCTCGTCTCCTCATTCAGTAAAACAATGCGAGCTGCTCAATGCACGGCGGCTCTTTACGTTTGACTCATTCACTGTAATTCACACGTTCACACCTTTGAACTCACACCCGCGTGCTCTCCATTCACAGACAGGTAGGAGTGCGTACAGCGAGGAGGAGGAGTGCGATGGAAAGCGGTATGGTCGCAGCTTATGGCAGCTTCCCGACTCTATTTCTGATGTTCTCCACCGGCTCTTTGAACGGCGGATAATAGGCGAGTGCCGGGTGAAGACACGGCAGCAGCGCGGCAGCAGCGGCGGCGTGGGCGGCAGCGGGGTGAAGATACACCACCGTACTCGACAAGCAACGAGTGGGAGGCGAGCGCTCCATCTCTTTGGCGGTGGAAACAGACTAACTCTGCTGCAACGGTCCTGACACCGAGCAGGACGGCCAGCGCTCCGGTTACCATGGCGACGGCATTAAATCATCAGCAGCAGCATCTGCTCGGCGTCGGACGTGAACTCACCCGAGCGTGGTCATGGTGACGATGGTGTACCAGAAGGAGGCGGGGATGGAGGTGAAGGTGGAGCCCTTGGTGCCCTTCTCGGCGTAGAACATGACGGTGGCGAAGATGATGATGGCCATGGTGAGGGAGAAGAGCAGGAAGCCCAGCTCCGAGGCGCAGCTCTTCAGCGTGTAGCCCAAAATCCGCAAACCCTGCGAGTGGCGCGAGAACTTGAAGATGCGGAAGACGCGGAAGACCCGCAGCGTGACGAAGGCGCCGCTCACGTCCTCGTTCTCGGGCATCACCAGGCCGATGTAGTAGGGCATGATGGCCACCACGTCGATCACCGACATCACCGAGCGCATGAACTTGCAGCGGCTGGGCGCGGCGAACAGGCGCATCAGGTACTCGAAGGTGAAGATGAGCACGCAGGCCGTGTCCATGCAGAAGAAGGCCAGCTGGTACTTCTCGCCGCAGGGCAGGTCCTTGACGCTGCCCTTGGGAGGCCGGCAGGGGACCGTCTCCACCACGTTGGCGATGACGGACACGGCGATGAAGAAGCCGGTGACGTAGTAGAAGACCAGCGCCATGGTGGAGGTGTGCGGGTTCTCGAAGGCTCGCCACAGACGCTCCCGGGAGGTGCTGTGGGGGGGCAGGGGGGCGTCCGACGCCTCATTGGCCTCCGTGTCCTCGGCCAGGCGCTCCTGGTTCTCCTTTTTCCTGTCTCGGTATTCCTGCACGGAGACACGAAAGGACAAGTTTAGCGCCGCTTTAAGTTACCGATATGCTGATTTAAACGATGCATCCATCATGGCTGCTCCAGCTCAGTCAACAGAACTACGTATGTGTCCCTCAATACGTCGTCAAACTCCACACGAATGTATTCATTTATAACTCATGGCTACGCATTCATCATGGCTGCTTCACACCCTGTCGTCACCTTATTCAGCTGACCAGAAGTGACCAATACATGGTGTTTTTATCTTCTTTAACTAATTAACTGATGTGAATACGCAACACAATAAATAGAAGTCAGTATTTATCCTGATACAGGTGTTCTCATTCTCTCAGTAAATGAATGTTAGCTGAACTACGTCAAAAACAAACCAGTTGGAATAAATCAAACGGGATCTGTACGCTCTATGGTGAAGCTATGCTAGCTGTAAAGTAAAGCTGTGAGGGATCCATCACCGTCCAAAGAACATCTCAGTTTTATTCTTTTAACCCTCTCGATGCAGGAACCTGCCAGCACGTTCAAAAAAAAAATAAAATAAAATAATCACAAATGACATTATTCATCAGAAACCGTACAAACAGCCGTCGTCCTTTCTTTCCTGTTCCTCTCCCAGTTTTACAGCCTTTTCTGTGAAACGTTGTCCAGTGCAGACCAACTTAATGACTGTATTCCTCTGATAGACTGAGCTGAGCCTAACGTGCAGTACCACCGATGGCCACTAGGCGCTGGCATTAAATCCTCCCTGGTTCCAACTGATCCTGTTTAAAACCACCAACTTAAAGTGATGTTTGATGGCGTTGCTGAATGCAGGGCCTCTGAAGGCTGCGTTGGTGGTAACTTTGGACATAACTGTTGTGCTAATAAGATGCGGAGGCTCACAGAAATGCTAGCGTCTGTCCGACTACATTTTTACTTGATTGCGATCCGCTGAGCAGAGACAACAGCAGATCTGGACGCTACAGCAGCTCCGTGTGGACCAGAAGGCGACGCCCATCGCTGCCGCTGATGCTAGCTTCTTTAAAGGTTAGCGGCCTTTCCTGTTAGCGCTTAACAAGACAGCGCGCCACCTCCACGCTGACTAATAACCTGGTGCACAGGACGCTAAACTCCTTTTTCAAACAATTTATCTGAAGTCCAAGAAGAAAAAGTCGAAAGCTAAATGTCAGCAGAGAGAAGAGAACGTGTGAAATTACTAGAAGATTAAAAATAAAAGTGGTGTGTCCTGTTTCTCAGGGGGAACTGTGGGGGAGTGAAAACAGAAATCCACTTATTGGACGCCGTTACAGTTAGTGAACGTGATCAGCTCTGCCAAATCAGAGGAAATAATGAACAATTCATGAGTCAGTGGACGGGTCAGCTATAAAAACCAGGATATAAAGATATAAAAGCCTCTGCAGGCTCTCTGCAACATAAAAGGGACGAGCTCTGGAGGTGATTTATGGAGCAGCGAGTGGGCAGCAAACAAACTACTTGTTTATGACTCGTTAAAGAAATCACTTACACAAAGACGCTACAAAGGCTGCCAAAATCAGCGGCAATAAAGAGGCAAATCAGATTGGACTGCTGGAGTTTCACTGGGCTCATCACGGCCGCTGTAATGAGCTTGATAATGGGGTTTGAGAGCAGCTCTGGTTAGCGATCCCCCTCAGATCCATCAATGTTTTTACACTTTGGGCTCATGCTGCTCTTCTCCGGAGAGACTTAATGAGTGCAGCAGCAACAAAAACCAACATTAAACCCGACCATTAGGAGCAAATCCAGGGTCAGAGGTCGCAGCAGCCGCATCGGCACGCTGCAGACGAAGGCGCATTACGAAGCCATCTGAAAGGACTGCAGCACTAAAACCGCATAAAGCTGGAAGCTGCCGTTCTGATCGTCTGCACTGCCAGAAAGAACGAGACCCGACGGTCGGACGGACTCGTTCTTGAGTTCTTATCATCTCCCACACGCAGCCTGAAGACCTACAGATTCGGACACCACGCCGACGTCCTGGGCCGTACCTCCATGCAGCAGTCTCCGATGATCTCGGGCACGATGCCGTAGAAGGCCAGCTCCTCGTCGAAGGCCTGGATGCACTCGTGTCGCGGGTAGTGCAGCTTCCCGGTGCGGTAGAAGTTCAGGATGTGTCGGAACATCTCGGGGTCTCGGTCGAAGAAGTATTCCTGCGTGTCCTCGTTGTAGAAAAACTCTTTTTCCGAGGAGCCCAGCAGCGTGTCGGGGTAGCGGTCCAGAGTGTTCTTCCACGTCTGGAGACAGAAAACCTTCATTAGTACGACAAAGAGCTGTTGTTACGTGACTCACACGCATCAGCACTGGTGAATAAACTCCCTTTAGCTGGGGTTTGGCATCAAGACCAGACGCACACAAATGGAGGCTCAGGTTCTTCAACAAGCCAAAACTGGCCTGAATCAAATTAACAACCTGAGCTCAGGGGCGCCCCCTATATCTCACATAGCTGAGCGCTGACCCATGAACAGAGCAATAGCTAGCTGTAGTTAGCTACGGTTTGCTTTGGTTAGCTGTAGTTAGCTGTGGTTTGCTTTAGATAGCTGTAGTTAGCTGTGGTTAGCTGTGGTTAGCTGTAGTTAGCTGTGGTTAGCTGTGGTTAGCTGTAGTTAGCTGTGGTTAGCTGTAGTTAGCTGTGGTTAGCTGTGGTTAGCTGTAGTTAGCTATGTTTAGCTGTGGTTAGCTATAGGTAGCTGTAGTTAGCTGTGGTTAGCTGTAGTTCCCCGATGCAGCGGGGAACACCTGCCTGGGGAGGGACTCGAGGTGTGGAGCTAGCAGAACCTGTTAGCTTTAGCCTCCACCGCTATGCAGTCGTGGATTTCAGGCCATTTTGCAAAGTGCTCATTTCCACATGAACCAGCAGGAAACACTAAGACGCTCCCCAGAGAGTTTAACTCCAACCAGCTCAGGTAGCTAATGCTACTAGCCTGGTAGCTAGCAGGACCGGTGGTTTCTAAACGCAGCCGGTCTGAACCGGGCGGCTAAGAGGGTTGGGACTCCGTGAAGGTTCCTCGTCATCTGCTTTTTCCAGGTTCATCAGCATCACATGGCCTTAAAGAGCAGAAAACCGTCTAAAAATAACATCGAGGCGACGTCCACGTATCAGAGACCCTGAGCTGGATGGAGGCAGCGAGCTGTTAGCAGCTGATGCTAACCGGCAGCCGGACCTGGTTCATGCCTCTCAGCTATCGGCTGTCATTTCGCATTAAAGCCAAGCGTTGCTTCTATTTTTTACCTCAACGTCAGGCTGCTGCATTTTGTTTTAAAAATTAGGACAAAGTCTGAGGCCTTGACAAGAAATTTCCTCGAGTTCAGCAGAAAGTACTTCGACGCCAAAACCTATTTCTGTTGTGGAGCCATTTTATTATTATTTCTGCCCAAACGCTCTTCAATGCGCTGATTAAACATCCAAGATTCACACGTTGAACCCGGGAGTCCGTCGCTGCAGGGTCAGGACGTGACGGATCTGTAGAGTCCTACCAGAAAACATCTCCTGGTGATCAGCTGATACCGACTTCAGCAATAAAAGAAAGAGTCAATCAGCGATCAGAGGCGGAGCTCTGCAGAAGCTGAACTAAGGACATAACACATCTCCTCTGTGTTTAAAAAAGACTGAAGAACGAAAACTAAGAATCTGGGAACCTTTATGATAACTGGGTGGCTCTAGGTTCCAATTACTATGACTCCCATCCAGCAGCAGTGAAGGAACCTCATGCCAACAGGGTTTTAACGCTCTGAGCAGAAAAATTAAAGGAGATGTGAAGAGTTCAACATCAGTGGCTGCTATCAGAGGATCTGTGGAGCGAAGCCGTTCTACAAATACAGCACGACGCCGACGTTCTCCACATCAAAGACCCGCGGCGGGGGGTTAATGTATATTTAAAGACCTACATCTCACCCGTCTCCTCTCACAATAACGGGAATAACCCTGCATGAGATTAAATCTGAGAGCTGGAGCTCCATGTCACACACAGCCAGAGCAGAGGATTTAAATCTGAGAAGAAAAGGGAAAGTCTGAACACCAGCATCGACTGAGCGATGACGGGTTCGTCAGGAAACAGCTCAGTTCACGATGGACGAACCTGCAACGCAAAACCTACACAAAACACATCATTCCACATAAAACAAACTAAATGTGACCAAAGTTCTCCTCAGACCTCCTCAGAACCAGCTGCTTCTTCACCTCCATGCTCTTCTTTATAGTTTTATTCTGAGCTGCAGGCCTTTGAAGACACAGAGGAGGGTCCAGATGTCAGACCAGTGACCAGCCCACAGTGACCAGTAATACCTTCAGTCAGCCCTCACCAGGCGGTTTCACCAGCATCCACACCTGAAGTCCTGTGGGTCGGTAACACCTGTCATGTATTTTGGGGATGTGAATGAACACCTGGGCCTCCTCAGCAGGCGGTTAGGGCAGAAGAAGGACCACAAACGAGGGTGAAGCACCTTCACCAGGCCAAGATGTTTCTACTGAAGGCTCTGCTGCCTTTTCCAGGTGTTGTTCATTCATTTATGATGTGCAGAATATCAGCTGTTTGGTAGTTCTGAGGTTTTGTTAATTCTTTGTGGCCAGACACTGATTTTAAACCATTTATATTTTCTCTCAGAGCAACATGATGACAATCACAGTTCACATGATGTGGATTCAGATCAATAACTACTCAGAAGGATCATTGCATTGTTGTCAATGTAAAACAAAACAACGTCAACAATTCAAGTGTACCGAGTAGCCCCGCCCACAGCGACCCAGTGTCTGGAGCATGCTCAGTGGACCCACCTGGAACCTGACCCCGCTGACGTTGACGTACAGGATCTCGTCGGACCTGGAGGTGTTGTCCACCGGGGGCTTGGGCATCGTCTTCTTGGCCAGCGGCAGCCATCCCACCGCCGCCGCCCGTGCAAACGGCAGCCACGTCGCCACGCCGGCCGCCATCTTGCATCAGAGCCTGCAGGGAGTCTGAGAGTCGTGTCCTTGGAGGACGGAGGAGGTGAGGACGGTGGAGGCGGCGGATCGCAGGAGAGCGTCGCGGTTAACGGCCCGACTGGGAGGTGAGGCGGGCGGACATGTTGGCGGGGGAGGACGGGGGGAGGAGGAGGGAGGAGGGCAGTCAGGTGTCAAGCCATTGAAGAACCTCCGGGCAGGAACCAGAAGGCATCGGACGGACACGTGGCCCGCCTTTTATTCTGTAGATCCTGTCTGCTTACACAATAAAAGCTCCTTCTGACCTGCGAGTCACAGCTCAGGGCTGGAACGCCCAGAAGCCTCCTGAACGCTGAGGAGCAGCTGGAAGACCTCCCCTCCGTCCACCTGTCAGTCGGGCCACCTCCTGACAGAACAACACAGTTTCTTTAAATCCCAGCAGCAGCGGAACACGTGTGAAACACTAATAAAGTGGGTCCTGGATACGGTCTATTGCTGCAGGGACCTCCTCCAGAAGGTCCAGGACGGAAAGCGTTAAAGCGTTTGTGTCTGGCCTCCTCCCTCCTCCGTCTGAGGCCAGCTCTCTCCCGCTGAAGACAGATTTGTTGCAGCGCCGCAGCCTTTCAAATTCTTATTAAATTGTGATGATGGTCCCTGAAGTTGCAAGATAGACAGAATCGGCCGCCTGCCTCTAAGTGTTTCTCTGCTGTGGAGATTATGGATCTGCAGCTTCCTCCCGTTCTGCCTCTGCTTGCTGTTTTGCCCTCTCTAATTTTCCCTTTATCTGTCTCTGTGTTTTACTGCCTGCTCCATGGCGGGGCATTAGTGGTAGTTGTGCTGCCGGAGAGCGAGGAGGCGGCTTCAGGAGCTCCTTACTCCATGTCCATGTATGGCCGTCCTGTCACTAAACACACAAACAGAAAAGAGACAGAAAGTGAGGACAACGTGAAGGAAGGAGGGAGAGCGGAGGAGAGGAGGAGAGGAGGAGAGGAGGAGAGGAGGCAGGAAACTGGAGGTTAACAAGGAAACAGAGCTGTCGGAGGGAGGAACGATGGAAAACAGAAGAAGGAGTCTACATGACGGCAGGATGAGTGGAGGAGGGTGGACAGAACACAGCAGCAGCTCAGAACCACTGAAACGATCTGCAGCATCTCACAGTAATCAGATTACTTCTAGCAGCAGGGTACTGGCTCTGATGTCAGATTACAAACTACCAGTTTAGATTTCCTATTTTTAAATCCAGGCTCCACAGAAGGAGCTAAACTAAAGTCAGTTTCATTCCTGAGGTTCCTCCTCAGCACAGAGGAGACCAGAGTCCACTAAGTTCTGCTCACATGTTCTGATGGAGGAGACCAGAGTCCACTAAGGTCATGGAGCATCTAGAAACATCATCAACACCTTCTGCCCTCATGCAGCCCCACATCATGATGCTGCCACCTCCGTGCTTCACTGTCAGGACCATGATCCACTGTGGTGGTCCTGGTCAGGTTCACACCAAACATCTGGACTCCATGTGAGCCCAACACATGGATCTCCATCTGACCAGAGGATGTTCTCCAGCATCCATCAGGCTTCTGTTCATGTTCTCTGGTGAACTTTGATGTGGAAGTTTAGCTGTGAGCAGCAGCCAGGTTTAGTTCTGCTCCTCCGTCCATAGAGGCTGATGTTCTGAAGTGTCCTTCACACTGTGTGAGCTTCACACTAACTCTGGTCTCCATTGATCAGCCCTGTGCCAAGTCTGAAGCAGCTGCCTTTGTCTGGTGTCCACAGCTCCATAGTGACAGTAGTTGACTGTCCGTGGAGTCATTGTAGGAGGACGACCACTGCAGCCCTGATCAGTGCTGCTGTGGCTCCTTCTGGACCTCCTGGTTCCTGCTCACACTGGGCTGCACTGGGTTCTAGCTGCTCACTGATCTTCTGGATCCTTCTCCATCTTTGTCAAGTCTCTCAGTCAGATGTTTCTCCTCCTCTGTTCAGGTCTTCTCCATGTGGAGCCATGATGCAGACATAGATAGACACAGTCCATAGGTCCAGAACTGAGGAGGTTCTGCTGCTCTCAGCTCGTTGTAGAACCAAGTTCATGCAGGTGGACTGATGGAGACCACAGCTGGACTCACTGTGGTTGGTTTGGTTTCTAGCTCTTTATAAAGGATTTGAATTTAATTGTTCATCAGAGGAAATACGTGTTTAAAGTAATCTGATTACTGTGCAGTTACACAGTTCAGAACCATCTGGGTTCTGCTCTTCATCTCTGTGGGACCTGATAGAAGCAAAGTTAGAAACTTTTCTTAAAGGACAATATTTCAGTTGTTTCCTCCTGAGTGTCTGATTCATGTTTACTGTATGAATTGTTTTATTTATTCACATGTACGACTTCCTTCAGCTGCTGCGACACCAGACGACAGTTAACCTGAACTTTCATCTTATTTTAATCCATGAAACGCCGTCAGACGTGCGGCGAAGGCGGCGGTCTGGACGTCACGTCTGGATGCGATCGATCCCGTCGTCCCCCGGCAGGCTGAGCTTCATGTGTTTAAGATGAAGATATAAAGCTGCAGGTTATTAAAGACGGTTTTATGATGAGACGAGCAGCGCAGGGAAAACACATCTCTTTATTTCTCCCACTGCGTTCTTCATTCAATAAAGCAGCCACAATAAAGTCTCCCCTCAAACTGCTCGCTGTCAGATGAAAAGTTATTGTCGCGGGTTTATTGCATAAAGTCCACAGTGGGAGCAATAAAAGTTTTCCTTCCTCAGTTCGCTTTGAATCACAGCGAGTCTGTCGGGAAGCTGAACTTCTTCAGGACCGACGGCAGGTCGAGGTTTGGACCGAGCTCGTCCACGTTCTGTTCCCTCAGAGTCCAACAGACCCACAGCCGGTCCTGGTACGCGAAAAGACTCGTTTTTATAAATTAATTTGGACCCAAAATGAACATCGATCTTTAGAAACTCGTCTTCATGTCTCACGCAGCTCGTCTGCAGTTCAAACATCCATCTCTACAAACTCATCCATGTTTTAAAGTTTCAGACGTAAGCTGACACCAAAAACCCAAATCCTCACGAACCGGGTTGATCAAGTCACCGAGTTAAAGAACATTTTATGACTCCAGGTTTCACAGACCAGACGAAAACATCGACGTACAGACA